GAAGGAAACATCGGGCCGACAAGCAGTAAGCCTCTCCACGAAGTCTCGGCCTCGATTCCATCGCCGCACCAAACTTCTGCGAAAAAATGTGAAAATCACGGCAATGTCAGTGAAAGAAGCGGCAAAGACTTGGATCAGAAAGGAGAAGTTTCTGTGAAGAAGCAAATTAACTCCATACGGAATAACCATGTATTGAATGTTCCTTATGAACAGGACGCGTATATACATACGGTGAAAGGTTTACAGACGCTCTGCGGTACTTCGCAACGGAAGGACAGGAATGACAACGTGAGAGGCACCACAGACAGAAATCAGAAGTCGTCCACAGGCAATTCGATTGCAGATGCCTTAGATATGCCGTATTTAAGAAAGCCGACAGTGCCGGGTGGAGGAGTGTTTACTCGTGGAGTGATGAAAACCGTCGAGGTAAGCTCCTTGTCCTCAATAACCTCGTAAGCGTGTTCATATTTTTTGAAGCAATCTTATTTTGTACGCAGTGTACAGTAATGGTCTTAAAACAACACTGTAAAAAGCTATAAATTTGTGAAAGCAACATATGTGAACTCTGCACTTTGCTGAAGCGTCCCCTCGGTCACTAAAAAACGTTGACACGAGCCGATGGTCAAATTACTTTACCAGTAATGGATGCAGAGAGCACAAAACGAACAAAATTGGAACACTGTTGACTTGTGTTCATGGCGACCGTAGAGGTAAGTCCAAGCAGCGTGAAGCACTATATATTTTGCATATTTGAACTTCAACCGCTGGCCAATAGATTTCAGAATGCTGTTCGTCCAGGTCTTATAAATTATCACTTCAGGTCTGTTTCAACAGTTGTCAATTCCTGCCCATGAAAATATTTTACCGTACCTCCAATGCAGAATGATCCAAAGGTGTAACCACATCTTTCTGTCCTGTGCGACATGTCTAAAGTTACAGGAACCTGCGAAATGCCTAAATGTTGAGGTTGCACCCTTTCAGCGACTCAAAGAATATAAATGCAATGCACAGGTGTCGAAAGAGTTCTGTGTAGTTGTATAATTGTTGACTGACTGAGGCTGAGATGCGCCAACTGCTTGAAGCTTTCAGCACGTAAAATCAGACAACATACCTTCCTGTGAAATTTGGCTTCTGCGGTCTCGTTTTGACAGAATGTGAAAGCAGGACAGACACTATTACAATGACAGCTTGTGAAATGTTAATTTAGATACTGAACAGAAATAGAAAGTAAGGCTTCTGAAATGTCCATTATTACATTAGATTAAACAAAGCCTGAATAACTGTTTTGTTATGTACAACTGTGGTGGGTTGCAATGCAAGTATCCCTCAGGTATCTGGAGATTTTGGTTTCAGCAAAGAAAGTCGCTTCATCTTCCGTTGCCGCTTCTCCTTTCGGGTCGCAAAGACAGACGCGTCGGATAGAGCTTCCGACGTTTCCGATCCTGTGCCAGAATCTCAGTTTCGGCAAAGGACAACTGGAGGCCGGAACAAATTCGTTCCATATATTTGCACCAGGCTAATCTTGGCCGTCCCCTACGCTTTCTGCCGATCGGTTTTGCAAGAAACAGTTGCTTAGCCTTCCTTCCTGGTGCCATTCTCAACAAGTGGCCAAACCATCGCAGCTGTGACTTCTCAATCAGGAGAAGCAGTGGCTGTACACCAAGGCTTTCCCGGATGTCAGTGTTCTGGACTATGTCCAGACGCTTAAGGCTAACGACTCGTTTAAGAAAGCCCATAGCCCGATTCGAAGCTTTTCAATCATCGTTCACGACTCATGACTGTAGGTAAGCATGGGGATGAAGATCGACTTAAACACTTGAGAGGCTGGTTTTTAGATTCAGCTCTGTTTTAGTCACGTCGATTCGGGCTAGAACACGCAGAACGCCACTGGCTACTCCAATTCGCCGGTCCATCTCATCCTCC